CTTTCTTTTTCTTTTTTTCTTTTCTTTTCTTTTTTTTTTTTTGGTTTTTCGAGACAGGGTCCTGTGTAGTCCTGGCTGTCCTGGAACTCACTCTGTAGACCAGGCTGGCCTCTCTGTATTTCTAAACATCAAAAATTTTCATTTTTATACCAATGCCATGGAAATTTCACTCCTGTGTTGATAATTTATTCTTTCTTTTGGGGGTAGCGGCTTCTATCACACATCTGTTCCCTGCTCCTATCTCTTCTGGTGCTCTTTCTTCATGACCACTTAACCAAGTCTACACACAATTGCCTTTAGCTTCTTCTCTGTTTATTCTCTTTGAGAGCTGTCTGTCTCTGGCACAAAGAAACTAAAAAAGGACTCTCAAGCTGAAAATTTTTTGCTAGAGTTGGAAAATGGCTTCAAATGATTAAATTCCCATTTTTTCCAGAATGAAATAATTCACTGAATGAAATTAACAGTTTCATTTCTCAGAATTGGTGCTATCTTCATGGGACATTTCCTGAGATCCTTGGTTGTTAAGAACTTCTGTGTACGTCTTAAGAAAATATTGATAGCCTTTGAACATCTCATTCTAAGACATGTAACATTATTTGTTATGAAGGAAGTCAAAATTTCTCACCAAGTAGATAGATTTTATACCTTCTAAATGGGAAAATATTTTAAACTTTGAAAGTATGAAATATGAGTAGTGTTTTTGTGTGGTGGGTATTCTTAGTCATGAAGAAAAATGCAGATAGGAAACTATTTGGAATTTTACAACAGGATTGTAATCTATATACTTTGTATCATAAACTTAATCCCATGGAATATGTCAGTGAGAAACATCAGGAAGTAACAGATATTCATAGATGTTTTTAAAATTTATTTATTTATTTTTATCTATTTATCTATTTATTTATTTAAATAGAAAATAGATTCTTCTCTCATATAATACATTGCAAGCATAATACCTCCCTCTCTCTCCCTCTTTCTCTCTCTCTCTCTCTCTCTCTCTCTCTTTCTCTCTCTCTCCACTCCTCTTAGCTCCCCCACCAACCTCCCTCCTCATTCAGATCCACTCCCCTTCTATTTCCTCTGCAGGAAAGAGCAGGCCTCGACCAGACAACAACAAGACAGGGCAAAACAAGACACAAGACATGGTGAAAGCTTTCATATTGAGGCTAGACAGGGCAACCCAATAGGAAGAGAAGACTCAGAGATACCACTTGCTCCCACTGTTAAAAGTCACACTAAACCACCAAGCGAATATCCATAATATACACACAGAGAACCAGGTACAGAGGTCCCTCTCTTCAGAGATGAGGGATCCACTGAAGAGGGGGAGGAAAGACTGTAGGAGTCAAAGAGAACAGAGGTCATCAGGAGATCATGTCCCGCTGAATCAACTAAGCAGGGCTCACATGGGCTCACAGAGACTGTAATAGCAAGCAAGGAACATGCATGAGTTTGTATTATTTATTTTAAAATCACCATCATAACAATATCACTTACAAAAGCAAGCCCATAAGCATACTTGTGATATCTTTATTACTTGTTTCCAAGGCCATGATGATATGGAGTCTATGAAGATAACTTATAGACTATGAACGATAAAAGACGCATTTGAAGGCCAGAATATATTGTCTTGTACGTGCACTGGAGTTTAATACTAGTGGTTCCTGTTCATTATCATAGGTATTAGACACGAGTTTTGATGTTTTTAACATTTTTGTTGCTAATCTTTAGGAATTCCTAGAATACGCCTTAATAATTAAATCATCCTTATTGCTTCCATCACTCATATTCCTGCATAAAGATTTTTCTGTCTGTGTCACTCTGGCCATGATGTTGTAAAATGTTGCTTCCATACTTCATGGAAACAACAGCCTGGGTTGACAGAAGCCTGGGTTGACTAAAGTCTCTGGGTGCTGTAACTAGTCCATAACAGTGATAGCCACGTGACAGGGTGGAGGGTTAAAAACTATCAAGATAGCAGAAATGAGAAATTTGAAGCCTTTGCTGTTAGTGAAACTTTCTGTAGGATGGGTAGAGTTCTCAGATATAAAAATGACAGCTGGTATTTATGTGTGGCAATTCTCTCATCAGCTCTAACTCTCTTAGCTACTCCAAAGTCTCAAATGAGTGGAACACTCATTGTAACTATCATAAACTATATATTTATGGAACTTGCTAAGCCCAATCCAGCAATTTGTCAGTTAGCAATCTCATAGTAGTTAAGTTCTAATAAACTATAAGGTTATATTTGAACCGCTCGGGAAATTCATTTTATATAATAAACGTAGTCCCCACCCTGGAAGAACTAATGTTTTAAATTATAGTTGCTTATGCTTGGCCCCACAGTATGCCTAAACTTGTAATAAAATATCTGTAGGGAGAAAACTGAGTCAAAGGATAAAAATGTAGAGATGCAGATAGTAATTAGAATAATGAAACGGTTGCAGGAAAAGCAAGGTTGAAGGACAGGACCTCTGTCAAAAGTCAAGTGCCCACACTATTTGACACCGATATGGGCTATTACTGTGAAGAATAAATATCAGGGTTCATTCACATGTCAGTCAACTCTCTAACCACCTAATAAATGTGTAAATTCCAGAAGTTCCTAAAACTCATAGTACAAAAATTTGCATGTTCATGGGGTATTAATCAAAGCATTCATATCCTACATGTGGTAAATAGCGTCTAAAATTAAAATTAAAAATATATTGACAAACGAAGTGTGCTAACATAAATATAAAAAGTTGTAATGAAATACATATTTTTTTTGTTAATTGATTTTAGCCGGGCGGTGGTGGCGCACGCCTTTAGTCCCAGCACTTGGGAGGCAGAGGCAGGCGGATTTCTGAGTTTGAGGCCAGCCTGGTCTACAGAGTGAGTTCCAGGACAGCCAGGGCTACACAGAGAAACCCTGTCTCAAAAAAAGAAATCAAATAAATAAATAAATAAATGTTAATTGATTTTGACCATATGCAAGAACACACAATGAGGAAAAGATAGTCTCTTCAGTGCATGGCACTAGGAAAACTGATACTCCAAGCAGATTCACTAAAATTCTACCCTTCTCATAGCAAGTATACATGATCCACCTAAAATCAGGTCAGAGTCATAAAAATGTAAGATCTGAAACTGCAAAAAGTATTGTAAGTGAATGCGAATGTTACACAGCGTCGGCTTGTGCAATTTCTTAGATATGACTCCAAAATAAAAATCAGACGAATGTGGAGAGTCCATCCTTCTGCACAGCAAAGAAACAATCAACAGTGTCAACCCACACACAGAGTGTTTGTAGCATGTGCATTTGACGAACTAATATCAAAACTATACAAGAACCTAGCATTTCATAATAAAACAAATAACCTCACTTAAAAATGGGCAAAGAAAATGTAAGTAGGCATGTCTCAACACAAACCCACATGGTTAACAGGTCAATGAAGAGTTAGTTGTTCAGCATCACGGTTATCAGGAACTAAAAGGAAAACTGTGGTGAGATATCATCTTTAAAATAACTGTTATCTAGAAGGGAAAAGTCAACCAAGGTTGGTGAGAACAGAGAGAAGCGGGAAATATTCATGGTAGGAATGTGAATTAATGTAGTTATTTTGAAAAATGGCATGAAAGATTTTTGAGGATATGAAATAGAAATTCCATATAATCAAGATATTTTATTTCTGGACATTTCACAGAAGCGCAATATACATTTTGAATATAAGCTTTATTCCCCAAACACTATTTTTGGAGTTATTTGGTTTATTCCCTAGCTTCTCCTCAGCATAATCCTTTAGAAACAGGACTCACAGGCCTTTTAAGTCAGTTTTCTTTGTTCTCTGCTACAGTTTGGATCTGCCAGAGGGACTCAGAACATGAACTCTGAAGTTAATTCCAAGCATCACCTCGGTTTTGAATACTGTGTCATGTCCACTTTTCCCTGTGAAACATGGAAAATAATCAAGGGCACAACCTTTCTCTGAGTCTTTCCTGTTCCAAAAGAGTTCTATCAAGAGTGATGGAAAACAGGGAAAAATCACTGTATAATCTAAAGCAAGATACAGTATCCCAAGAAGGTGGTGACATTAGCTTCATGTCATCCTATATTTATAGAATTGAAAGCTTCTAAAATACATTATCTCTAATATTTGCCTTTAGCCAAAATCATTCTAGTGCTATTTTACTCAACCAATTCAACATAGTCAATGATTAGAATAACACAACTGATGTTCTCTACCATCTAAATTTATCTATTTTAAGGATAAAATATAATTATGCTTATTGTTCATTAGCAAAAGTTTTTCTAGTTACATTTGCTCAAAGCTTTAGCAGTGTGTTTAACATAATTCATTTATGTTTCCTTTGGTATTAGAAGACTTTGAAGCTACTTAGTTCTATCTAATTTTGTGGGGTCACAATCTCAAACCTAGAGGAAACTTTGTTCGTTTCAAGTATGTGACCACTGTGACCAAACTGTTTCATGACAAGGAATGCACCCATGGTTACTAATATAAGATTCCTATGTTAAAAATGGAGACAGTTGTATTTACTGTGGAGTGTAAATTTATCTTAATCCCCAAATCTCAGCATGTCTTATCACTGAATCCTTTGAATTTGGTCCACACCCTAATCCTTCGGTTTGCTTAGGTAAAGGATTCCTCAATATGAATAATCGGGGAGTGGCTTTGTGGCTCATTCGGAAGCCTCACAGGATTCCTAAACTGTGAGAAACTGCATGAAATCAACAATGGAGCAAGAGTTTCTATATTCCCAGCATCCTAAAGCCTTATAAGAGACGATTTCCTTCTTGGTACTTTAAAAGGCAGCCAGTGTCTCTACTTTTCTTTATCCTTTAGACCTCTTCCAAGGGGATAAATAGCTATAAGTTTAGAGAATTCACATCGACTAAAGGCACAATTATTAACCTAACAGAGGTTCAGAGTTTCTTCATTCTAATCCACAGAGTTGGCACATAACTTCTTGGACTTGCAACTGAGACCATCTGCCCCAGAATGGTTAGAAAGCAGCAGCAATATACTATGAATGTTGAGCAAAATGTGGGAGAGCAGGTGAGTACTATAGACAACTTTTAATACCTCTCATGTCTAATATTCTTGATTTCAGCATGTAACCATGAAGGGACGTTTAAACTTTATTATTGCAGAAGGAATCCGGTTGTCATTATCATAGATGTGTTAGTTAGTATGTCAGACTACGTTTTTATATATTCTTGAATATCTGAGAATTAGCCTTGATGCATGGACGTTAGTATATATATCAAAACATATCATGAGATATCTGCAGGGAAAACAAAACAAAAACAACTTGGTTAGATGATTTGAAGAGTTATCTTAACAGCAAATATTGTAGTGTATTTTATTTTTACATAGACTAATCCATTGGAAGCACTTATTGTCTATTTTTCCACAGAAATGTGTCTATTTAGAATCAAGATAACAACTATAGAAAGTACCTCATGGCAGAGAGAACTTTGTTGATAATGCATTACTCTGTTGGTGCAAATCAGGCTTTTCTCAGACTCATGAAAACATATTTGAGTGATCTCAGGCTCATTTCATACTCAAACTTAATGCCTTGAATTCACAAATAAGAAAACGTAATGTTGATGGGTGCAGGTAGCTATTCAGAGTCAGAAACTGAATTTTTCTCTCATATTCTCCTTTATAAAAAATAAGCTACTTTTCAGTTCAACATCTATGTTCATGACATAAGAAAGTGTTTTTTTTTCAACTAGAATTTGTATACAAACTAACAGCAATGTTAGAGCTTCCTAGAATATTGTCTTATTCCTTTAAGTGGAACATGAGAGCAGTTTAGTTTTTTAAAACTAGACTACCATACATGTAATTAATACTTTTCCTGGAATTTCAAGAGTACTGTACATCATTGCTTTAACCGCATATGTTCAGCAGTTTGGTTATGACCCAATGCCACAGAATGTGATTTATGGTGCTTGCTCACAATAAAGAAAATATTGATTCAATTCAATCCATTATGTAATATATTTAATTATGCCAAGAAAACAATTAAACAAAATTCCCTGATGACAAAAACAAACAGAGAAAGAAAGGAAGAGAGAGAAAGAAAGAAAGAAAGAAAGAAAGAAAGAAAGAAAAGAAACAGAAAAAGAAAAAGAAAAAGGAAAAGAAAAAAAGAAAAAAAAAGAAAAAACCCAATGAAACAAAGGAGGGATTCAAATCCACTGTGTACCATTTTTTCACTATTCTGACAGATGAACCCGCTTGTGCTACTTAAACATCAGACAGAGGAGCCTTGTTTTGAACAATTATGTGGGACTTATCTTGTGAACCTTAGGAAATCGTTAAAAACCTAACATACCCAGAATCTTACCTAGAGAAAGTCAGTGGTGTTCCCTCTTCAAATTTAACTTAATCTAATCCTTCTAGTTTGTTATTTTATCACATGAAATTATTATCAAACAACCAAAGCACTTCTTCTAAAAATTACAATTATATTGATCATATATCAATTAACTCATGTCTCATATTACTAATAATTCAGGGAACTGATAGGTTATACGCTTACTGAAACTTTTTGTAAGAAGATGCTTATTGAAGTTGCCTCTTGCTCCTCATTAAAGCTTATAGTTTTCTATGTGTGAATTCTATTGCAGTTTATGTATTTTGGCAACTTATATACTTCATTACTACTCGGACACACATGTGCCCATCATGAGAAAGCAATGGCTTTCTCATGTATATTTCCTTATATATTTCCTTATATATATTCATTATATATTCATGTATATCTCCTTATATAACTAATAAACTGTGAGTTGTTATTTGATTATATGATTGATTGTTCAAGATTCTGCCAGTTTAAACTATCCTGCAAATGTTGACAATTTTGTCTTTACTTTGTCTGCTATCTATATGTACTGAGAAGAACTTTTAGGAAAACATTATCCACTTCTCTTTCCTTTAATGGGACCGTCCTCATGCCTTCCTGTTAAACATCATCTTGAAGTAAACAGTTCCTTTCACATTTAGGAATTATCCCATTGATTTTAACTCATGCAGTCATTTTGCTTGACCCCCTTTTGTCAAGACTGGCTCTTTATATTTGTTCAATGGTACCAAGGAAGCTATTGATATGATCAACTTATTTTCTTTCTTCAATCATTTGATGTGAACTATAAACAATATACCTGTGTCATCACTAAGCACATATCATTATACTCATAGAATTTACCTAATTCTTCCTTTGTACCATGTTACTTTCACATTATTTTGCGTTTGTTTTATGTGCTATGTTCCCAGATCACATAAACTTTCCTCATTCTTCAAGTTTAAGACTTGCTTTTTAAATTGACTTTCTGTCTTTTTCTGTACAGTTATTAAGGAATCCATACTGTTCATCTGAAGGAACGCACTGCAGATGTAGATCACACCACGTGATATGTGAACTGCATCGGGTAAGGTCTGAGGGAGGTAGTTAGGACATCTATTGTTTCTTAGAATAATTTGAAATAAGAGAGTAAAGTCCTTTTCCGGCACTTCTATGAGGTTCCTAAGACACCATAAGGTCTCCCACAAAAGAATAGCACTAGATTGTGTGTCTTTAATATTACAAAGATTAAAGCTGACTTACTCTCTCTGTATATTTCAGTGAGATCCTTGCATTTATGCTTGATGTGGAAAATATATTTAATAATTTTAATTACGTGTTAATACATAAATGTGAAAATTTAGATAGAATGAACAATGAACAAAAAATAAACAAAAATGTCCCTGCAATGTTCCACCTTCCAAATACAACTATCTAAATGTCCTTCACTTTTATACTTGCCACTATTAACTAGAAAAATTATCTACTTTGAGACATTTGGACCTGATAATATTATGATGATTTCTAAGGCAATCTATTTAATAGGAAAACATTACTTTAATATAAAAGGGATCACCGAGGGATTTTGTTGTCCTTACAGAATTATATGTTATGTTGTGTGTGTATGTAAGGGAAGACATTTGTTTATCCCTAACAGCCTTTAAGAATAATGAAATACATTCATCTTTTAATTGAAATCTGTTACCTGTTACCATTTGCGTTTGCAGAAATAATCACTCTTGTAATGCTTTTCAGGTTACGAAAAACTCGTGTTCCCTCTGGAAAATATTCCTAATATGTCTGTTGGCTTGTCTAGTAGCCACAGCCATTACAGCTCTGGCCTTTTACTTTGGCCATTTTGGCAACCCCACCAATACCACCATCGTCATTCATACAGATGGAAGGTCCTGCCAAGATCCCTGCACCTCTCCCTCTACGGCATCTCCTACCACAATCCCTTCACCTGGACCTGGGACCTCTCCATTTCCTGATGATACAACCACACCAGCCTTGCCTACCACCACACCCACATTTACTACAACGACGCCTAGTACCACCACAGAACATGAAGCTGACATTGAATATCCCTAGCGTGAACTCTCTCAGTCCTCAAGCCAGATCACTATTCTCACAGAAGCACATGGCTTTGTTAGATCTAGTTCTCTACTAATCTATGCTGTTTTCCATGTGGTGATAGTCTTGCACTGACTATTTAATATCTGAGAAAGATAGAGGTTCAGCAACTATTGCCACCTTCTGGAAATTCTCTCATTCTGAGACATTTTCCCTGTCAGGTGACAATGAAAAGGGACTAAGGCTAGGACAAAGCCAACTAAGATAATCATGATACTGCTTATGAATTCTAATTTTCCAACTTCTCTCCTTAAGAGAGTTGGGTGTGGTAAAGGAGCATCTTGGAGGGGACAAGAGATAGCCACTTGCTATCCAGGGATGGTAACATGGTGTAGAGTACATGTATTGTTAGGCACTGTGAAGGACAGAGGCACTATCTGTCTAACCTGTGGCACTGAGTCTTAGCTTTTTGAGGTGTCTTCTGCCTGACTTTTTGTTGTTCTAGTTCCCTCTTTGCAAGTTTCAATAAACCTAATCTTGCATGCCACCTCCGAATCTTACATTTGACTTCTCAACAAGCTAGCCCACTGTCTTTGCACAGCTCGGCTATGAATGATACACCCATTAGGTTAAGTGGTTAGAGAAGCAAAATTCCAATAGAATCTGAACAATTCATGTAGGATAATACAAACAGTGTTTTGTTACCTATTTTGTACTATCAACCTTCTGGGAATTATTTCTATTAATTTCTGATAGTTTTATATGAAGAATTTTGAAGATATTTGCCTTTCCCTTACTCCCCCCAGAACTACTTTTTCATGCTTCCATCCGTCCCAAGCAACTTGGAGGTTATTTTTTTTTCACTTGTTTTTCTTCTTTGCTTGTGGGTGGGGATTGCCCTGGAATATGATAGTCTGCTAGGGTCAAATCTTTAAGTCTTGGGAATGGGACTTGCTCTGGAATATGGTAGTCTATGAGGGTCACATCATTAAGGAAAGTTGACTCTCCATCTCTCAGAAACTATCAAATGTCAATAACTCCTCAATTCATGATAGCATTTCTTATCCACCTTCTTTCCGCTATGCTGGATTTTTACATTTTTGTTTCAATTTTTTTGATCTGGCTAGAGTTTATGCAGATCTTATGCATGTCTACAACTACTATACAGTCTTTTGTGCAACTCTTCCATTGAGTATGGGAAACACTGTTTCTTTGCAGATACCAGTCACTTCTGCCTCTTAGAATGGCACTTCTTCAAAGATACCTAAGCCATGGGCAGAGGGTTGTGATATAAATGTCCCATTTAGCACTGAGAGCAAATGTCCCTTTTAGCATAGAGAGCACTCTATAATCTTTGACCAGTTGAAGGGTATGTCTGTGTTAATTGACATGCATTGCAAGGTGAAGCTTTTCTGATGAATGTTAAGAGATATACTAACATATGCATACAAAGATAAGACTTTAGGAGGCAATTTATTACTATTGTTTAGCTCTGGTCTATTATTTAGACCAGAGCCTCTGGCCTAGGAAGTCATGAGTTTTGGGCCCAGTTAATTGTACCAGGCATGATTTCTATATTATGGAGCAAGATTTAGATCTAATCAGAGAATAGTTGTCGACACCCATACATTTGTGTTACTCTTTTATAGGTGGGCAAATGTTGGCAGGCCAGTTGTTCTTGATTGCAGGGTTTCTAAATGAGATTGAGGAGTATTATTTTTCTTCTTTAACAGCATGCACAGCAGCTTACAGCACCATGAGTACTAGCCAGTAGGGATATACTGCAATGAGCATTCCAAGAGGAAAGAGGGATGCTGTTGGATCCGGCTCAATGTAGGCTTCTGCTTGTTAGTTCTTTAACCACTATGTACCATCTCGCCAGTGAGATGTCTTCCTAATCACTTGTATTTAACTGATTTTTGTTTGGTTTGCATTTCCATGCCAATATTGAAAGAAGTGAGATGTTCATTAAAGTGATTTTTAAAAATTAATAAATACTTATTAACTTATATAGAAAAGATCTTTGTATTGAGGAATTTAAAGAGAAAACAAACTGGCAACTGGTAAGAAATAAACAATGAATGTTTCAGTCAAAGATTGAATGTAGGACAAAGGTGAATGCCTGGATTAAAACAGTAGCTGAGAATACAAGGGATAAAATAAAATTAAAAGCAAAGGCACACCAGGGAAGACTTCCGATGAAGACAAGGTATATGTTTACATGCACTCACACCACACTTTCTCATGATCACTCCCGATGTTATTCTCAAATTATATATGTTGTTGATTTCTACAGCTATTTTATTTATGTAAGAATTTAAAAAATGCAAGGGAAAATTATTCACACCATTTCCTTAAGAATAAAATTTAGTTCTATTATACAATGATATAAGAAAGTTTAATCTTTCTAGATTTGAGTTTTCTTCCTTGCTTTGTGATATGAGTAAAGACAGATTTAGGCTTTAAATACATTGCCAGTAAAGGATAATACAAAATGTTCTGTATTCCCCAAGCCATTTTGAGCAATGGGAATCTGTGAGGAGACTAACAATGATCCAGGATGCAACAATATGGAAGGAAGCTCACCTTATTCAGGTTGAACATCCCAGCATCATGGCTGGAAGATCAACTTCTGGGGTTAAGCATTTGTCCTGTTTCAGGTTATTGGAGATGATCAGGTTTCTGTTCTTAATAAGAAAAGAGAGATTGGAATGGTTTCTTAGAGTTTTCTTTTGATTTAGGCTTTAATGATTGAATAAATTATTCAATAGTCCACAGAGTTGTGGGAGCTATCTTCAAGTGTTAAAGTATCTAACCTAACACCATTTAAAAAGTGATACTACAATGTTGAGTGAGGTGTGCACATTCAGCAGGTAAGCTTGGCTACAATTTTATCTAAAGCTTACCTAGTTCTAATGATCAACCCAACAAATACTAAAACCATCATACTTTCCTATCATAGGTTCTGGTATTTATTTCACTAACAATTATTCACGGAAGTGGCATTGAGGGATTTTAAATTATTCACATAAATGATTGTTATCTTAAACATCTGGCAAAAGCTTTTATCAGTTTTTCTGTTTATGTTTATCTTGTGTGAGTTTTCTTTCTCACATTGCTTTTGTACAAATCAGAGCAAATGGATTTCAATTGTCCTTGAGAAATCTCACAATAGAAAACAAACTAAAGAAGCTCGTGATGTAAGAACAGAAAAAAGCTTAAGTAGTTGGTAAAGTATGGCGAGTTATTCGTGTGAGTATACATCTCCTCTGAAGTTTAGGACTTTTTTTTTTATCAGAACATCGTGTGCACATGTTCTGGGACATCGGGTATATCTGTCCCTAGATTTGCTTCTGACCTAGAAGGAGGCCATGAATGCTCTTATAAATGGAGTAAGAAAGTCCAAGTTATTGCTTCCTGCTAACTGCCTTAAAGATAATTCTATTAGTCTGTAATGTTAAGTTTATTGCTATTGACAAATTACCTGAATAAAGGAAGTCACACACTTCAAAATGCAAATCCTCCCAAAATTTGTTTATAGCAATTCTATCATTTTCCATTTCTGGAAATTAGTCATATGAATATATCTGTGTAGCCTAAAAGGGCTAGGAAGATGGATGGATGTCTCCATCTAACATATGAGTTGTATTTTATGAAGAAAATAAGGATGATGAATATTGGGGACAACCAAGAGTCTGACACAGTAATTAGATTAAAACATTAAAAGGGCATGTATAAGTGTTTTTCTCTCTGTTTTTAATCTCTTTGCAAACCTCAGGGTTTTTTTTTTTAAATAAATTTTGAATAAACATCTGACAGTTAAAAAATTATAAGGAATTCTAATAATACTGAGTCATACACAATGCAGTGATGAGCTGGCCTTAGGTGGCAACCTCACTGGATAAGGATTCATGTCTCCAGGAGGCCCACCTTTACTGGGGAACAACAGCAGCCCCTCCCAAAAGGAGTGGCTCATGCTTTCTACCTCTGTATAACCCCAAAGAGCCCAGCCCTGTACTGGCAGGAAGAACAAAGCACCTGTGTTGTTCAGATGAATGCACACTGACAATATCTATCACGGAGACATCATGCAGCTAGAAGTGCCTTAGGAATCATCCAATCCAGGACAGGAAGGGAGTGGAGCTAAAACAGTCTTTGGAGGGATGTGGGGCTTACAGGCACAGTGCAAAGCATTTAATCCCTTTACCTCATGGATTTCATTGGCACATTGGTGCCTAAAGCTAAGATTAGAATCCAAACTACGGGGCTCTGCTCTAGTGTGAAACATTTTGACTTAGATTTGACTGTTTCCTTGTATGTGAATGGATTCAAGTCACTCCTCAATAGCTTCTACTTATCTTAGGCAATATTTGGAAAAATATTAGTGGAAATTGGAAGAATAAATGAAAGAAGTAAAATGAGGCTTGACACTTTTCTCTTGATATTTTCTCTACTGTGTCTAAATTCTTCAGTGTCAGGAACTATGTGACCTTTGGAACTGCAAACCATCTTTCTTCACCTACATTTTTTCATCTAGAGAGAGTGGATAAAACAGTATCTATCTCGTAGGTTTACTGTGAGTATAAGAGAACTAATACGTGTGAGACACATAGAATAGTAGTCTGCCACATGATAGACATGAAGTAGATGTTAACCATGCTGTCAATCATTTTGAGATAATGGTGAAATCATTAAGTCATGGTTGGGTTTTTCATTGTCACGTGGTCCAGTTGTTGGCATTTCTCCTCATTCAAATAGAGGTCTATAAATAATGAGAGAATTTCAAGTGATTATGCTATCCAGTTAAGAAAACGATTGTGAGACAATGAAAATGTCTGAGGAAGTATTACTCATGGTTTGCTCAAAACTTCACACAGGTTAGACGGGGTGGGATATAAAGTAAAATGTATACAAAAATACATTGGAAAAGATCTGAGGTGAAGTTTGGATATAATATTGAAGGATTTACCTCCAGTCACACAAGAATGACACAGAATATGTTGTCAAATGCCTAAGCC